TGTTATTTAACAAGAGCTTCAGCCTCCCTTTGCAGAGTACTGTTATCCCATCCTCTCATCTAAATCCTTCTTTCTACTCATTTAGCTACCTATCATACACTAAACCATCAGGAATAAAGCTTATAACAAGACTTAGTGTTCCCAGCTATCCAGTCTGCCTAGCCCAAAGCTCCAGCAGGCAAATTTTGCCTCCCATTTTGAGACAAGCAAACTGTCTTTTCAAGACTTAAACCCTTAGATCCCCAAATGACAGATGTACAAAGACACCCTGCCCTTCCCCAGCAAGGCCAGGACAGCCTCCTACCATCCACACCTCTGAGCTTCGCCTCACCTCGCTTTAGCCATAAGAGCATTGATCTGGTAATATTTATTCTCTTGGGAGAGCAGCACATGGATAGGAGTCAGACGTGTACAGATGCTCCTTTCACTTTTCTCTCCAGAAACTAGCGTTCCTCAAGGAAAGCCCACGATATTTGGGGTAAAAGGAAGTTCAGCAACGTTTGAATGCCGCTATAAACTTCTGGAACACTCCTCAGTGAATTACTGGTGCAAGTGGAGACAGAATGGGTGTTACCGGATCATAGACAGCTTCGGGTATGTGGCAGGCTTATATGAAGGAAGAGTGGCCATGTATGACAACCCAGATAACCAGACAATCACTATCATCCTGAACCAGCTGAAGGACAGCGATGAAGGCTATTACTGGTGCATGACGGACGAGGAGGAGGAGCAGAAGTCATCAACTGAGCTGAAGATCGTGGAAGGTACGAGTTTGCGCATTGATGGTGCTCTCCCAGCTCAGCAGGTACAAAACAACCCTCTAAACACCACGAAGTAGCAGATCTGGCCTTTTAGGAAGAGATGCGAGGTCAAACTCGGAAGGTGAAACCTTGTGCCAATCCAGCAACACCTCAGTGGCTTTCAAATGGAAACACAAGGTTTCAGTTTCATGGGAAAGTGCTCACAAAAGGTTTCTCATACAAGTATTTAAGCCATGGGACAAAAAAGAAACCAACCAAAAACCAAGGCAACCTTCACCCCAAGGTGCATATACAGCATCCTTAACGTGAACTTCGCAATGCAAGGAGCACCCCCCCTCGCAGATACACCTCCTGGTTCATCTCTAGCAGCATCACTACCTGTTGACTACAGTTCCCACCACTGAAACCACTAACATCAACCTTGATGTTCTGCTTGCCTTTGCAGGAGAGCCTGCGCTGCAGGGAAAGAAGGAAGTAGAGGCACAAGAGGGTTCCCAACTCAACTTAACTTGCTCGTACCCATGCCGGTACTACTCCGACCAGAAGTACTGGTGCAAGTGGAGCAGCACTAGCTGCACCCCTCTGCCTGCTTCTGACCAAAGGCAGCCAGGGCCGGACGTTACGTGTGACAGCGATGACAAGACCGTTGTCCTGAGCTTTGACTCGGTGGCAAAGGCAGACCGAGGCTGGTACTGGTGTGGCGTGAAGCGCAACGGCCTCTACGGGGAAACCATGGCAGTGTACCTGTCCGTGACCGCAGGTGGGCTCCGAGGCAAAGGCAGGCGGGGGTTTTCCTGCCTTCCTTCCGCTGAGAGGAAAGTCTGCTCCGCAGCCACTAGGCTGCAGCACCTCAAAGCGGTAGGGCTGCCGTCCAGGCGCGGAGATGCCGGCATCACCCTGGTTCTGCCCTTGGCGCAGATGTTTTCGTTCTCTCTTTGGTTTTTACTTCCCGACCATTAAAAAAGCCCACCAGTCTAAAGGTCACTTCCTTCCACACCGTTTTTGCTTTTTAACCCTGTCCTCGCTAATTACTGCTGCTACAATTTGTAGCATGGAATCATAGAACAGTTAGGGTTGGAAAGGACCTTAAGATTCTCTCATTTCAACCCCCTGCCATGTGCAGGGACACCTCAAACTAGGCGATGTCACCCAAGCCCCTGTGTCCAACCTGGCCTTGAGCACTGCCAGGCATGGGGCAGCCACAGCTTCTCTGGGCACCCTGTGCCAGCGCCTCAGCACCCTCACAGGGAAGAGCTTCTGCCTAAGAGCTCATCTCAGTCTCCCCTCGGGCAGGTTAAAGCCATTCCCCTTGGCCTGTCCCTACATCCCTTGTCCCAAGCCCCTCTCCAGGTTTCCTGCAGCCCCTTTAGGCACTGGAAGTCCGTTCTAAGGTCTTTCCTGAGCCAATGCACAGCCAAAATCCACCTCAGTGCCACATCCACCAAATACACCCAATGAGCTTGTGTCCCCCTTTCTATGCTGCTGCTCGTGCCATTAACAGCCCTGCTTCCCTGGATGATACAGGAGGCAGTGCTGGCCGCAGCCTGGAGCCCCTGGATGCTGATGTCCCCAGCGCTCCTGAGGGTGATTTCACTCCCCAAGGAAGAGCCAACAGTGCTGCTTCTGAAAGGTTAGTTTTCTCCAAGCCTGTCATTTCTTATACTAATATTAATACATAGCCTTCTATTAACCCCCTTTTGGTGCTGTGTTTGTACGCTGCATGCTTGAGCAACATTTGAGCACACAAAATATCTTGCCCTCAAAGAACTTCAAACATCAGAGGAAAACAAATACTAGTTACAACAAAGGGCAAGATGACTTGGAACTCACCTCTAGCTCAAGCAAATACAGCCCCAGAAGGAATGGTTGGAGATCCCAGGTACAGCAAAACTCATCGAAAATACTTCTGTCAAGATCAGAGTTTTCCTTCACGTTTATAACCAAGCTGCTGATGGAGGGGGTGGCACAACCTCTGTCCTGCAGGTTTATTTGGTTATCAGTTGATTCTATGTGTTAGGATCCAGTTTATCAGTCAAATCGCATCCTGCTCACTCAGATTTACCACGTTGTAGGGGGTTTTGACTGCTGGACATTCAGGTAGGTTACTCAATCTTGAATAATTCAGCAATGTATTCCACAGATTAGTTACTTATCTTTCCTTCCATTCCAGCCCTAATCAAAGCGGCCCCAATACACTTCTGTTAGTCCTGGCCCCTGTTGGTGCTGTGCTCCTCATCGCTGCGACAGCTTTTGCTGTGTTTAAATACAGACAGATGAAGAGATCTGGTGAGTCCCTGCTCTGCTTCCTGCAGTCTCTCGAAACCTCACATTAAGGTTATGTTAATACTAAGATGAAGGTGATAACTTGTGTGTGCTGGGCTGAGCTGCTCCCCTTGTAACCCCCATGCAGACAAGGCAAAGGACCCCATTTTTCCCCTCCATGCATCCCCATCACAAACGGTGCCTGGGCTGAGGCAGAGACCAGGCACCGCGTCTCCTTGCACAGAGGCTGTTGGGATGCTGGTGCACTCGCACGGATCCTGAACAAGCCCACAGGGTACTTATCTCCTTCCTCTTAACAGAGCTGGTGTCCGTTGGGAGCTACAGGACAAACATCAGCATGTCAGATTTCGAGAGCGTGAAGGACTATGGTGCGAGCAATAACGCCTGTGTGAAAGAGACCCAGGAGACTCGGATAGGAGGGGACGGTAGGTGCTGACCGATGGGATGCTCTCCAGCCCCAGGGGTTGCAGAAGGACCCTACGAAAGCCACAAAACCAGCCACCGACGGCCCCTGCACCTCCCTTTCTCTCCCTGCAGAGTTCGGCACCGCCGCAGCCACCCCAGAAAGTGCTGCCGAGACAAAGAAGGCAAAAAGGGTAAGAGGAGACAGGAGAGAGCCCACTGACCTGGGAGACGCCAGCACAGCCCTTCAGCCCCTGCCCAAGGAGCTGCTCCCTCCCAGGGGCCTTATTTATACCCAGATGCTCCCAAGTAACCTGCATCCAGCACCTGATGCAGATCAGCCTCTGAGGGGGACCTTAACCCTTTCCTGATCCCGTGTTTTAGCAGAGACAGTAACAGCAGCCACCTTCCTTCAGCCAGCACACGCAGTCAGCTCCAGGGAGCATCAGGAAGGTTGGGGTTGGGTTTGTTATTGTAAATATGAAGTACTTGGATGAACCAGAGCCTTCCCCTCCTCAGGCAGTGGTCCAGGGCACAGAGGTAGGTAAGGAGGTCTCCCCCATTTGACCTGCTCCTGTGGCCCCTTGGGTTAGATGATGAGTGCGTGGCACCACGAAGGGTGCCAGATGCAAGCCCTTCTTGTTCCAAGTCCCTAACCAAAGGCAGCGTGGAGTCTTGGTTTAAGTGCCAAGAGCTGAACTGGAGAAACAGGAAGCTATCAGGAAACCAGTAAAACCCAGCAGCTTTAGGACTGGTGAGCTGGGTGCCATCATGCAGCGACAGGCATGACGCAGAGCCCCAAACCTGCAACGTTTGGGGTCTTCCCGTGGCTGAGCAAAGGCAGGATGCTTTCACATTGGTGTGCAGTCTGCCTGTATCACCCTGAGAAGCTCTCAGCCCCAAAACCCTCCCCTTTCCCCCACCACCTGCGGCTGTGGCTTTGCAGCCACCTCACAGTGTCCTGCTGTCCTTCCCATAGAGCTCCAAGGAGGATGCTGACCTTGCCTACTCCGCGTTCCTCCTCACCTCCAGCAGCATCGTGCAGGGCAGCTTGGGGGGCGACGCTGCTGCCCCAGATGTGTCCCCCCAGATCTGAATGTGAGGGACCGAAAGGCAGCAATGACTGGAACCAGCTCCACCTCGAGGACCAGCGCAAGACACCAGCAAGCAGCCCTGGGCCTTGCTCCCACCGTTTGCTATAGCTTGATCTTTTTTATTGCTTAAATTCAGCTTCTGCTCTTTTATTTTCCTTCTCCTTTTCTCTCAAAGGCAGCTGAAAACCCTCGAGAACCATGTTTCCCACTTGATTCCTCTAAGCTTTCTCACCCAGAGGGCAGTACCTGCAGACCAGACATGGTCTGAAGTGCTTTTGGACACAAGCAATAAAAAATGCCACGAGCTTTCAGCAGACCAGGGGACATGCAGTCCATGGGAGGGCACGGGGAGAGCACACCCGAACTGCAGTAATGGTGCAATTGGGAGAGGTGGAGGAGGCCTTTCCCCTCCTTTTACTGCAGCATTAAAGCATCACATCTGGTGTTGCAAACGACATGGGATGGTAGAAGAATCCTACACTTAATGGAAATAAATACCCTGCAGATAAAGTAATGTAGGTAGCAGTAATGATGGAGTTGGTAGCTCAGCAAGGTGCTAGGCAATGGTTGGTTGTGTCAGTCTGCAGATGCTGAGTTTTCATCAGGGATAAACCCCATCATGGACCTCCCACTATAAGCACTGAGCTGAGCATGAGGGTAGCAGCTCCAGTGGGATTTGTGTTTACAGGGCTGCTTTCACATCCACATTGCAACAGTCATCACCTTACTGATAGCAAGGCTGGGAGCTCAAATACAGAATCCCAGCCTGGTTCGGGTTGAAGGGACCTTAAAGCTCATCCAGTTCCAACCTGTGCCATGGGCAGGGACAGCTTCCACTAGAGCAGCTTGCTCCAAGCCCCATCCAGCCTGGCCTGGCTCTCAGGCTATAGCTCATCTCCCTCATCTCCCGGGCTGTATCTCATGCAGGATGGTGGGAAGGGGGCTGGATATTGGAAAAGCTGTGGAGTGGCCAGGACAGGTCTGCACCCGCCTGGAGTTGCTGGAAACGAATGAATGATTCTGGTGCAATAAGCAAGGTGTGCACTTGGGAAGTGTCCCCGGGGGGAAGCTGTCATAAAGCTGCAGGAGAAAACCCCTTTTGCTCTCCCTTTGAAACCCGTTTCCTCTTCAGCCTGCCCGCCGGCATCCTTCCCTCAGCTCCACTCCTGCACTGTGCTGGGAGCCATAGGGATGAGCGGAACGCCCAGAGATGTGCAGCGCTGAGCCAGTGAAGCGTGCATGGACCGAGGCGTGCAACCCCCTGTGCAGGAAATCATCAATGAAATACGATCAATAACCCCTGTGACAGATTAAGCTGAGGGGATGGAATAAACCCCACGCTTCTCACTCAGTCTGTGACCCAGAGCCCACCATGATCCATGGAAAGGTTCACAAGGACCTCCCCAAGTAGCCCCATCTCCTTCACCAGACAGTTCACCAAACATCCAACTGATTCCCTTTGGTCAGTGACAAGCTGTGGTACCTCACTGCATCACTGCTTCGTTCCTAAAGGCTTTTCTTTAACACAAAATCCTGGTATGTTGAAGATACCTGTCATTCGTCAATGGCTGATTTCGGGGTGATGGTATCATGAACACTGATAGAGCATGGAGGGATGTGTTCACCCATTCATGCCCTAGCACCAGGATAAGCGAAAGCCATGCTGCAGAATTCCATGAGAAAGCAAATTACGAGAATCCAAGAGCCGAAAGGCTTTCCTTTGGCAAAAGCAAATATTTGAGGAAGGATCGTGAGCAATGAAGGAGATCTTTCCCTTGCAGTGAATCACCAAATCCCGCTCAGGGTGAAGCACGTGTAGATGTGCTGTAGGCAAATGCTGGTGAGCTCACACTGCCAGGTTATCACCGAGGCTTTTAGGGAAGGGACGAGGAGCCTCCTCCTCCTCCTCTGCAGCTCTTCATCCTGTTGGTGCCCCAGGAAAGGTGCAGTGCCCCCCAGGCTGACACAAGGCTCTGGCAATGCCGGGTTGCTGCCAGAGGTCTGTGGTGGGGATGAAACCACAGCAGTACCTAGGTTCTCCGTGAGGACAGGAAGACCTTATTCCATAATAACAAAGCCTATCCTCTAGTCTTACTCAAGCCTTATGTCTCATGAATGAAGCAGCAAGACTTTATCACTTGAAATATTAGGACTAGGGTGTTACCAGGGTTTGCACTGGTTGCATTTACCTGGGCCCTCACACCAAGTGTGCATAACACCTCCTGGCTGCATGGAGAGAGGGCTTGGGTGCTCTTCATTCATTTCCTAAAGCATTAGACCCCTGTAATTTGCAGATACTACAGCAATATGTATTTATACATTAACATCTTGTGCGAAAACACATTAGAAAAGGGATTTAGAGCATGCAGAACCAGTGGGTACCAGCAATGTGTGTGCAGTCTGTGGTGCCTGAAAAAGGCCCAGGTGTGTGGAAACAGACCAAAACTAACCATAATGCACAATAAAAGTGGTCTAAGGGACAAGGAGGGGTGATTTAGGATCACTCAGGTTTGAACTTTGCTGTCTCTGGCATGCCAGGAAGGATGCATCACCTCTGGGATGATTGCATGACCAGGAGTGACAGTATCTGCTATGAAAGGGCACCCCAGTGAATTCAACAAGTTTCATCAACAAGAAACATGTAATTCCTCAGAATCTGGACAGACTCATCACAGTTTCAGGTGGGGTTTATTTACAGTAATTGTAACAGATTTCCACACAGCTTACTATTGTCAGTAAATTACACAGTACACGCATGACCCTTTTTCTATTCAGCAACCACGTATCTCGTGTAGGAACTGTTCTTGTACTGATAAGGCACAAAATATCATCTCAAAAGGAAACACAGATTTCTAAGGCCTGACATACCTACTAGGACCTGTTCTTGGGAGCATTTCTCACCCTCTGAACCTCATTTCAGCCAGATCACACAGCAGCAGCAGCCACATAAGACTGAGCCCAGATGTATGGGCACTGCTCTGCAGCATTGACTACACCAGAGTCATTCCAGCACTCATGAATATACATTCTCTATACAAAAAAAAATGATAATTTAAGCAGTATTTTTATGAAATGATCATAGTTTATGTCTGCAGCAAGAGAAACCCTATGAGATCTTCCTTGGAGAGCATCCTTTGATAGAAGGCATCTAAGTGAGTGCTGTGCTCATTTGATCAACCTTGATATTTCCACCTTCATGCAAGGCTCTGCTGATGCATTCACCTACATACCCTGTTGGTAAAACACCCAGTGTCTGACTGAACACAGCTGCAGTCAGTGGGATTCTGCAGTGGTACAGCACATTGTCTTCCTGCGCACCACTGGTGTGTGCAACGTGCCAGCAGCTTCCTTAGCCCCAGCCTTTGGTGGGCGGTTAACACCTTCTGCTCTCTGAGACTTCTCCATCCAATCTAGCAGGATGTCCAGCTCACCCAGGGATTTCATTGCTGCAGATGTGACATTTAGCTGAAAGGATATAAAGGATCCAGTTGTAAGCAAAGATGAGTACAACCCATTGTAAGGAGAATCTGAATTGAATTACCAATTATAAGCCTTAGTCACCAACTTACCCCTTCGTAATTTGCAAGTATTTGCTTAAATTTCTCAGTGGATTCCTCCCCACACATGCATTTGTTTTGCTCATGCTAAAAAAATAACAGAGAACTAATTTATTTGAGGGGTTAATTGCAAACAAATAAGAAATAAGCTGGAAATCGCAGCCTGACACCTTGTTAAACCATGGAAAAGATCCTTAAATCAGACTTCAGCAAAGAACAGAGTTTACTTCAACAGGCAGAGGGACAGGATAAATATTGTTCTTGAGAACTAACGTGGGAGTTTGCTGATGAGTGGGCAAGTATAAAAACTTCCCAGCGAGCAGATGCGCTCCTCACATCATGCTGCTTTGTGTCCTTGTTAAAACCATCTTTATAAATAGGCTGCATCTTTATGTTTAGGTTTATTTATGCACCAAGTACGAGGAGGGGAAACTAAACTGGTGCAATACCCAAGACTTACACACTGCCTGAGCGTCCTCTTCATGCTGAGGAAGGAGTTGGCTATGCTGCTGATCTTTCGGTTGATGTATGAATCCTCGGTCTTGCAGTGCTTGAAGACTCTGTCCACGTAGAAGTTGAAGAGGTGATGGGTGATGCAGCACCTTTCTGAAGACTAAGGAATAAAATCCATTTATAAAAGGTCTTCCAAAGTGCTAGACACAGGTAATGACCCACTTTTCTGTCCTCATCTCGTCTCTAACATCAAGCATGGCAGCTGAGCACAGGGGTTATGTTTTGATTCAGATAAAGCTTTTCTCGGTGCTTGATGTAAACTGGTTATATACATAGGGAATTATTTCAGACTGCTTCTGCAGCAGTTCCATCCTCAGCAAGCCTCATTGAGTCAACAAAATAAATAGCTGATTTCCCTGCCCGCGGCAGGGGGTTGGAACTGGATGATCTCTAAGGTCCCTTCCAACCCAAACCATTCTTTGTAACTAGGTGTAAGAGCCTGAGACCTGAAGCAGTGGCCCATGTCTAGAACTTTAGAGTGTAAGAGAGCTGAACAATACTTAGTTATATTTCACCTCCCAAGATCACATTCACCCACTTCTGGCTTCTATAATAGCTTTCCACCCAAACCCTGATTCACTTTGCTATGCTTCTGCTGATCGAGGCAGCGCGGAGTGCAGTGAAGGCTTCTGTAACTGGAGCATCACATGCAACAACAAGAAGAAAATCTCTGCCCACCGTTCCTGGAAAGACAGTCAAGGTGAAAGCCCCGGAGCAGGAACTGGCAGTGGGACACCCACCTCCTTTCACATACGTGATCCACATCACTTTATCCTCCCTGACCTGCCTGGTGTCTGTGTTTCGTAGAAACTTAGAAGTAGTCACGGTGTTGAACAACTTCCTCAGAAGCCCTGAGCTTCACCTCATCACCGGTGTCAGGGTGCTAGCTGGCCAGCATCATTCAGAGAAGAACTGGAGACATGATAAGGACACCTACCTTAACCTTGTGCAGAGAGTGCGGGTGGGACAAAATGCTCAGGGTCCTGATGGGGTCTCTGGCTTGCTGCATGGGACAAGACAGAGATGGTGATGGACATGCCGGCTCCAGAGGGGCTTCGGGAGCCACCGACTAAAGAGCTTCCCCAGCCCTATAAGAGTATGGAGCATTACTTACAATGTTGGCTTTAATTGCAGTGAAGCCAAGCCTGATCTCAGCCGTGCTCATTGAAACCCTGCAGTGTCCGAAGTGGAAGATGCTGTTCCCAGCTGTCGGCATCAGATTCAACCAGCACGACACGGAGAAGAGGCAGAGGAACAAGTGGGATCCCTTCATGCTGCTGCAGGATGCCAGCACAGACCTGCTCAAGGAAGACAATACTGCCTCGTTATCTTCCCTAAATAACACAATTGTGATGCTTGTGAAAATGCACATATTTTATATAGCACTTGTACATGCACACATGTATTAAACCCCCCCACACTGACTGGTATATCCTATCCATTGCTTTTTTATTCCCCATGTGCAAGAGGGAAAATCAACCAACCCCAAGTATTAAACAGAAGGTTTCAAAAGACAAAAAAGCAGTTAAATATTGCATGTAAATAGAAAGTTATTAAAAGGAAATGAATCATCAAAGTAAATACAGATAAATTACATTAGTGCAGCAGGAGGTAACTGCAACTGAGAGCAGCAGATCCCAAAGTCTGATCCCAAAAGAAACGCTTCCCCTTAAAAATACCACACTTCAAATGAAAATTGTTAGCACTGAAAATTAAGGTTATTAATGAAAAACAAAACCCTTTTAGAGAGACATTACAGGAATAAGAGGGAATATGCATAAAGACATAGAGTGTTTTACCTGGTTCTATGATGCAGTTCACACGTCTCGCTGGATTCTGACCTGAAGATCTCCGAAGAACGCGGTTTTATCCCGGTATCAGGAGGAAACAACTCCTGGATTGACTTTTGGAATTTTCCTTGCTTTTCCCAGCATGTATTTCCCTTTGTAATTTACTGAATTAATGAGCTAGTGAAAGGGACCAGCTCCCTCACCCATAGGTGCTTCCACCACCTACGGAGGCGGGAAATACTTGGCATTGTCGTGTCATCTTCCCTTTGGGAAGAAGGACTCAGCCAAAAGGAGGGACCATCATGGGGGTTACATTCCCAAAAAGCCAAGCTTGGGTCCTCCCCCCAGCATAAACCCCATTGCCAAACCCCTCCTGGAAAGGAGCCATCCCCAGCTCATCACAGAGGCGTTGGGATGCGGGAAGCTGAGCAGCAACCTCTCCCTGGGGATGCCAGTGGTCCAAACAGCCCAGGGCTCCTGGCAATAGGACACATGGTGCACTAGTAAAAATAGCATGATTCAGAAAGTTGGCAAGAAAGACCTTTCTCCATCACTGTCCTGGCACATGGGGCCTTCACCTGTCAGGTACAGGGAGCCCTACCCTCAGGCTTGCTCCTCAGGTGGATGGACACTCATCTCCATCAGCACGTCCCTGGTATTCAGAGCCTGGGGATGTGAGAGGCAGGGCTTTGGGGTGACACAGCCAGAAGTCCCTTGGTTTTCAGGACCACCGGTGATCATAATGCACAGTCCGAAGTTATCAGCCTGCAGAAGGACAGAAACCTCACTCAAACCCGTGAGCATCCACCAGCCCAGGAGCAGCAGCAATGCTTTACCCACCAGCAAAGACTTTGACTGCAAAGCCTATGATTACCCTGCTGCAAGCATTACCTGCTGAGCAGAACTGATAGAGACAAGGCCCTTGAGCAGACCAGGCATGCTCTTGTATCAACATTTCAGATCCACACTGTCCCCAGGGATCCAGGTCTGCCAGCTGAGGCGTGCTGTCACATGAATGTGGCACTAACAGAGCAAAACCCAGGCTGGTTCACCACGCTGTTGGCTCTGAGGCCAGTTTGGTTGTTTCTGGTGATAGCAAAGTTCAACATACAAAGAAGAATGAGCAGTGTAAAAGCTTCTTCAACCACCTGTACCCAGGAGGGGAGGTTAGATGAACTTAGGGGGCATGGAGATGGCAGAACACCTCTCTCTGAGTGAGAGCAGGAGCCTGAGCCTGTGGCTGTTGCAATGCAAGTGTCTGCTATGTGCCACTGCCTGTGGGCCGAGGCTGTTCTATAGAGATTTGCTGGGTGAGTAATTTATTGATAACCAAACTCAATGCTGAGCATATATCCATCACCAGGGGACAAGTAGGCAAATAGATTTTATGCCCAGGCGAGTCATAGGATTGCATATAGTGCTGCTGAAACTGCCCCAAAGGCAGCAACCATGCCTCCCTCACCCTTGTGCCTTCACACTGTCAAAGAGCCAAAAGGCAGGTCCAAACCTGCATTTGGCCATGCTGAGGTGTCGGAGGGATTCTCAGCAACCCAAGGCTGGCAATCTCTGCCTTCCTCCCCCCATTCCCAGCTGCTGCCTGGAATTGCAGCGAAAGTTTCACTTGGAGCAGAGGAAGCGGCACCGCAGCGTTCCCCGGTTCCCGGTGCACACCCAGCCTTGGTGAGGAAAGCAGGGAAGAGGCAATGAGTTCCTACTTCATTATGTAAATTGCAGATGACAAGAAGGGATTTCTTCTCTTTTAGGGTTTTTTCCTGTTGGTAACTGAGCTGCCTCTCAGGTCAGCCAAATGCCAGCAGGCAGCAGCCATGGGGTAAAAACTGCCAGGCTGGTGGAGGAAAGATGCTGGGGTGATACAGAAATGGGACTGAAATGTCATATTAGCAGGGTCGAGAGCCTTGCTCTGTTATAGACCTCTGCATGGTACCTGGGTGGGCACCCCTTGGCTTCTCCATCCTGTCAGTGACCATTTGAAAGCAGAGGCTATAGCATGACCCTTGCCATCAGGGCAAGGAGGAAATAACCATGGCAGCACAGGGGAAAACCATCCAGGTAGGTTTCAGTTGGGGGTTTAAGTGTATGGACAATGATGGAGGTTGATTACCCCAAGTGCTGGACCTGTGGGAGGTCCAGAACCCCCACTTTGTGGAGCAGATGGGATGGCATCAGCAGGGATCTCGGCATGCATTGGACTAAGTCCCAGTGGAAGCGAATCATTCAGGCTTGGCTTTCCCAACAGCCTGCCTAAGGGAGGCTTTCACCTACCTGCCATGGAAATAGAGTCAATAAAACAGCAAGTTGTTCCTCGTGTGTTCTGGGAAGGAAGAGGAAAAGGAGAAACAGGGATTTCTGAACCACGGCAGCGTGATGATGCAGACGAGCTCAGACGGTAAAATGGGAACTGACTCCCTGAGGGACTCTCAGCATAATTAAGCCTTTTGGTTACTGCAGGGTTGGGAGTGTGCAGGGAGCAGGGATGTGGCCCTCTCCCTGGAAAACCTTCCAGCCAATGCGAGAGGGCTCCTCCCTTGGGATTTTAAGAGTAGTTAAGCCCCGAATAACAAGCAAAGGCAGCACAGAGGGTCGTTAGCCAGCTGCCAGAACAACCCCCATTTATCATTAGCTTGACTGAGAAATCATTTGGACAAACCCATGGCAAGCATGGGCTCACATCTGCAGTGATACAACTCCAAAAGGCACAGGAGGGGTTAGCAATTCCATGGGGCCAAAGGGAACGTCGCCGGTGCACCCTGGAAAACCACTCTTGGAGCTGCCTCTTGGACTGCTCCAGCCCTTGGCAGCTCTGACTGCTGCCAGGAACAGTGCTCTGGATCCTGCCAAGGGTAGCATCACCCCGCTGTGCAGCGCTGCTGGGTAGCAGCAATGCCTCAGCAGCAGCAGGAAGCACCAGGCCATCGGCTTGCTGAAGTGACTGACAAAGCAGAGGTTCCTGAGGAGCCCATGGCAGATGAGGCACTCACTCACAGACAGCCGGTTACACCAGGGAAACTCAGCAGCCGCTCCCAGCCCTGCTCCAGCATCATGGATTCACTTCCCATGCGCTTCTGCAGCGCTGCTCAGCATCACCGGGTGCTGACCTGACTTTATTCATTTCAAAGAGCCAAAAGCTTTCAGTTTATCCTAAAAAAAAAACCTTAAAAATAGGCTATAGCCAAGCCGTTGGGATGCGAAGGAGCCAGGCTGTCAAGGACTGACCACAGGCACACGTTAACGCCGGGTTTCCAGTAAAGTGTTTCAGAGTGATAAGGTACCGGTTTCAATAAGTGCATTTCAATGCACTTTCCTGCTAGAAGAAGTTGTGATAACGCTTTACAGACCATTCTTGGTTTGGCAGTCTTTTTCACTACTCATCTTTCACAGCAGCATCTCAGATTTGAAATGACAGAAGAGTGAATGCCAGCAATGCCTGCAGTAGTTTCAATAAAAGAGAAAATGAGACTTCATAACAAAGTCCAGCAACAACACCTGAGCTCAGGAACTCTTCCTGCCACCCTTCAGGAAGAGATCTGCCAAAACAACCAGCTCAGCCACCTGAAACAAAAATGCTTGTAGGATTTTACATCCCTCCTGGTAATCCTGTGGCTCACCAAAGCCCCCACCAAAGGACCATAACACTGTTTCCACACGCAGAAGAAAAACCTACTTGGGTTTATGCACTAGAGCCATTTCTCCTATACTTGCAGTGGTGTGAATTGGCAGGCAGACCTACCCTAATCATAGCCGGGTGCTCTGACTGCAGCAGTGGTGCTCATCCTCAGCCCCTTCAAAGTCAGAGCTTAATTGTCAAGCAGTCACCTGGACCTCCCCTTCAGAGCCCATTTCAAATCCCATTTGAATAAGTGAGAACATGGCATGGTCTTCTTGAACCCCAGGGATTCACACCAGCATCCAGATGGATGTCACCCGTTGTCATTCTTTCTGCACTGACAAGCAAAGCCTCCCAAAGCCTGACTGCTCTTCCCTGCCTTCATTAGCACAGTTCATAATTGACAGAAACCAGGAGCTGGATAAACCGAAAGCTTTTGGCTATTCAAAATGAATAAAGTCAGGCCAGCACCGGATGACGCCAGGCAGCACCGTAGAAACGCATGGGAAGCGAATCCACGATGCTGGAGCAGGACTGGGAGCAGCTGCTGGGTTTCCCTGTTGGAACCACAGGCAGTGAGCAGGCTCCCCAGCCCTGCACTCCCTTGGCCCCAGCTCTTTGCATTTTGTCTGCAGCGCTGCTGCCAAAAGTGAGAAAAAAGAATTGTTTTTCTCAGTAAACTCAACAAATGACTCAGAGAAGTCGGCGCAGTTATCGCCCGATCGATGCGGTACATCGTGTGCCCTCTCCTCAGGCACGTTTCTAACCATAACCACTCGAACAGCTCTGAAAGTCAGACTCTCAATACTGCCTTTTAGGGAGCAAAGCACCGGCTCAGCTTAAGGAAATGCAGCTTTTATTCATCCCAGCTCGCGAGATGCCCAAAACTTCTGTTTTCCAGGATCTCTTCCGGAGTGGCTCATGGTGTGCAGGGCTCTTAGCAGCTTTAGGACATCCCCTTGCAGGCAGAGCAGCTCCTTTCCCAGGGCTGAGGGAGAACGTCCCCCATC